CATCTTATATTCTTGGGTTCAATTCGTAGGTCGCAATTTTTGAATTATTTTAAGAAATCAGTTACGTTGACATGCCTAAGATGAACACTTTTTAAAATAGGTCAGATCGGTGCAGTTTTTCGATCACTTACTTTATAAAACCTTATTTTGAAAATTCGTTATATGAATAACTGTCCTGAACGATATGCTGTACTTTGTTTAATGGTGGACCGTGTCACACTGTAGTCTTTTTGGTCGTTTTTTTTTTTCCTAAATACCCACAATACATGTAATGTGTAAAAAATATTCAAGCTTCAGTAGCATTTAGTAACATTCTGAAATTTGGTAGAAATATTTATTGAAATGAGTGAAAATTTCTGTGTAAAAATAATTCGGCAAAGTCTAGTGAAAATTGCGAAAAAAAAAAAAAAAGATGAGAATGTTTTATTTATTTGTCCTACGGTGTATTTCGTTTCGTTCCGAATCGTCTCGAATCGTTAAATTTGATAAGTCATTTTTTCATATTGTGTGTGCAAAACCAACCTATGGTTTATGGTAGGTAAACAACGTACACGTAATCATCTTGTACACACATATATTGAATAAATTATATAATTTTCTTTTTTATACCCATAACCGAACGATAAGGGGTATATTCATTTTGTCAAAAGGTTCGCAACGCCCACAAGGAAGCATCAGAGACTCCACACAAAGTATATATATTCTTGATCAGCATCAAATCCTAAATCTAATTAAGTATGTCCGTCTGTCCGTATGTCCGTCTGACCGTCGATCCATCTATCTAATGTCTGTTGTAAACATTTTCCTGGCTGCAAAAATGAAGCTACGGATGTCAAATTTGGCATATACATTGGAAGTTTTCGTGCGCAGGCTGGTATTGAAGTTGAGCCAAATAATTTGAAGGACACGGGTACTGTAGTAAACTAAGAGTATCTATGTTTGTATGTATGCTAATAAACTAATGTACTATAGACGATAAATCTGTAACAATTTAAATGCATATTCTATAGACGATGATGTAGTATCTGAACAAAGATTAGGAAAAAATGACTATGCCTACCCAATATTTTAGTGTTTGAAAATTTAATTTTTTTTTTTTCAAAACCTTTATAAGGCGGAGAAGCAAGCTCCAATAACCCCATAAACTAAAAAAAAAAAATCGTTGGCCAGTTTCAAATTCGGAATTCACCTAAGGCTGTCCGTGTTCTCGTCAGTCCATCTGTCCGTCTGCCCAACTATGTAGTATTTCTAGTAAACATTCTCCCGTTAGCGAAAATTAAGTCTAGAAATTTGCAATAGAATTTAGAAGTGACTTAATTGACTTACACAGGGATATGTCTACAACGTCCACACATCTATGCGACACAATCTTTTTGAAAATAGAAAAAATCAACCGCGTACACTGCATATTATATTATTTTATGAAAATTTAGTTCTTTTACTCTTTTTTCTAGAATAACAGTAATGGGTATAAAAGATTCGGCCACGAACAAATATAATTTTATCTCGTGTTACTGATTACATTCGATATTAACGAAATCATACATGTTTGCTTGATTTCATTTGAAATCACTAAAATACTTGAAAGCACTTTGACATAAGCAGACTATTATTATACAACGCCCTCAGAATTCACGTGAAAGTAAATACAATTTTAAAATTTTTAATTTAATTTTTTTTTTTTTGAAAAATATTGTTTTCACATCAGGTTGGATGTTAAGAAAGTTACTTTAGAATATATCCGCCTGAGTGGCCGAGCAGGCAAGAGTCTCGACTAGCAACTCAATGGTCGTGGGTTCAAATCTCAAGTGCGATAGAGGTTTTAATAAAACCGAAAGCCGCCGCCTTAGATGCATGCTAGTGCTTTTAAGACTTTAGTCTTAGAATTTATTCTCTGGCTAAATTTCTAATAATAATAATAATGATAATACTTTAGAATAATTATAGATTGTTTTGATTAAAACTATTATTCACTTCAATGAATACGTTTGCAGTTATTTCCTTTAATGTCCTGAAATAAAAAATTACGGAACACATAGAAAAAGAAGTAATAAAATTGTGTTCATACTAAAGCGAATCCCTTTTGCAGACATGAAATTTTGCCAAAACAAGATAAGCATGATGGCAAGGCTAAGACATAGCTGTCGATGACTAGTTTGATCTTTATCTATTCATATATCTTTGCGAAAAAATCGAATGAATCGAAATATATCTGGGCAGCATTTTGGAGCCGATTAGAATTTTCGCTGTTTATCAGATTTAATGGGTACGGCTTTGCAATGTGTTATGTTTAAAAACCAGAAACAAATGAAAACATTCAAAAATTCTCCTATTCCTTCAAGGGCAATCATCGGAAAGTTCTTGTAATATCTTGTATTAAAAATTTGTTCAATTTTAATTGCAACATGCGTTTGATTGCAGAAGCGGTTAAGCCATGTCTACAGCAAGTAACGAAAGAAGTAATAAAGTAATGCATTGCGCGGATACCGTTTCACGCAATGTAATGTTAATTTATTGCTGATACCGTGGCATAGTTCCATTGAAAACGTGGGAAAAAAGATAAAAATTGAACGTTCAATGAAATAAATATGTGTAGGGAAAGAAATTAAAGCAATATCATAATCGAATGTATATGATGGAAAAATAACAAACAGCATGGATTTCTCTTAATTGCGAAAAACATGATTGAGGCGATTCTTAATTTGATCTCGAATTCCACGTGATTGTCAAACGTTTGCAAATTTTAAGATGTGATTAATCGTAAGAATTGGAGTAGATGCGTGTGCTTGTGTATGTGCTATGAAAGGAAAAGAGCTTATACTGAGTGGCCTTAAATTGATTGATTGATATATTAATTTGATTTATTCGATTTATGCTCATTTACGAATAATTATTATAAGATTATCATTTATATGATTTTATGAACGCGTTTATGTCAATTACACTAACGAAAATTGTAAACATTTTAGATCAAATATTTTAGCACAAATTTAGATAAGAGTCATGTCTTGCTTTAATTTACTGCTTCTCTTACTGAAAGATAAAATTTTAATGCGAGTCGTCTAATATGTGCATCCATAGAAAGCTATAGCAATTTTTGATATTATTGTTGTTACTATATCATATCCTAAGTAGACTTTATTTGCTGTCGGTACATTGTATGTCTGCGAGTTGAAGTTTTTCTTTATTATCTTTCTTGCATGACCTACTTTACCTCTCCCTACCTTACAAAACAACGACGTTTCCCACACTTATACAGAATGAATATATGCGCAAAACAGGTCTTGATTTAACAGGCCGTCATCAATATGCCAAATAAAGTAAAGATCTGATGACTGCGAGCTATTACCGTCGCGGGGCAATAAGAAAAAAAACTTACTTTCATAGCTTCATTCCGCGTTCATTCTGTAAATTGTAAAGGTGAAAACAAGAAAGTATTCATTCCCCTACATACAGGTATCGGATGAGATATTTTTAGTTTGTTTTTGTTTTTTGTCTTTCTTTTTTTTTTTTTATTTTAATTTTGAATCAAGTCTTTTCACTATGAAACTTAATGGGAATTATTTCGTATTTTGGCTCAAAAATATATATTTAATTGTGCGATACATTGTTTGTTTTAAAACCGTAGAATCACATTAAGCATTCAGTGTCGCAGTGCTAATTATTGGGCTAAAAACGATTCTGTGTCTGCTATTAGTCAAGTCATTAAACAGTGGCCGTTAAATCAGTTTCGTTATCTTCGAATTTTTTATTTCTGAACCGAAGTCATTGTGAATAAGATTTTAAAATATTATAGTTTATTATTAGAGATAGAAAAAGTTAAGTAAGTGGTTTCAATAGTTAAATGTCGATTGAGCAAAACCCACCATCGCTAAAAGCCTTAGTCGCTTTACCAAAGCAAAGTGCAACAGAGTTAGAAAGCGCCTAAGCGATTCAAACCCATCCGGATCCTGGGAACTTTTACTTGGGTTATAAGAATAAGAAAGCCTAGCATCGCCGTGCAATGGTCAACTTGACAGTGGCTTTCAGTGATGGAACACAGTGCCGTAAACATTGTATAAAGATATTAAAGAAACAGACCCTAGCTCTAATCTCGCTGCCGTTATAAAGACGCCTGGCACATCTGACATGAGATCAAGTAATTTCTTGTGTTTTTTGTAAGACAATTTCTTTGATTAGTCGCTTACAAAGTGTAAGTCAACTAACTAAAGAAACGTTAATGTATGAATTTCGGTCACAAGACCTAAGGTAGGCATCCTCTTCAAATACGCCATTGCCGACGACTATTGTAATGCCCTCTAACGATCAAAATCGAGAGCGGGTATAATTTCACATTGAAAAGGTACTTAATGTCGTGAGAAGATTGAAGAGGCCGACAGCTGTTTCAGGTAGGCATCAACTTATTTCACATACACAAGACATATTCAAAATCTATTCTACCTTCATACAATGGTAAGTATAGAAGAAGTTTTTATAACCTCTGTCTTAAGATTTTTATTGTAAATCTCCGATATAATATATATATATATATATATATATATATATAGTGGACGAGGGTGATTAAATTTTTCTGAAAACGAACAGAAAAACCGCTACAATGGTTAATTAACAAGCATTTAATTGCAGCTATAATTAAAATACATATTTTGCTTATAAAATTGAAAGTGTCTACGGAACAGTTATATGTACACGTACATATATGCACATTGTGCAAAAATTGAATCAAAAAAAAAAAAAAAAAAAAAAAAAGAAAACGCAAATGAAGAAAGAAAACCAAACCAAAAAGTGAAAGTGAAGTTTTTCACTCGTAATCACCAACAGCATTAACACAATTACCTTTTTGCAGCCACGGCACGTACATATGCACAAATGGTAACTAGGTAGTGAAATGAACAAATTTGTTAACCTGAACGAATCAATTTAATGTTATTTAAAGTTTAACAGTCTTTTGTTTTCTTTTTTTTTTTTTTTTTTTTTTTTTTTTTTTTTTTTTGCATACACCGCGAAATAAACAAACAAACAAATTACGCCTCATCAATCATATGCTCACTTTAAAGTTCGTTATACATACAAACTATGTAAATATGCAAAGAGGGATGCGGTAGGAGATGGATGGTCGGAAGGCTACATAGGCATATGCACTTTGTATAAATCACGTAGGCAAAGTCGACTGGTGCCAAAAAAAAAAAAAGAGAAAAGAAAAAAAATAAATAAATAATAATAATAATAATAACGTAATGGATGTACATATGTTTCTCTTTCTCATATTTGTAGCTGCACACAATACAATTACGATTAATTTCCGCAGAAATTTACTGTTAACTCGATATATGAAATTGACGGGTGTAGCATTGTTGCGGAAAATGCACTATGAAACGATTTTCCGGTTTACAACCACTCAAAACGAAACCAGAAAGCAAAAAATAATAAAATAAAAGAAAATTAATTACATTATATTTCTTATTCATTTACTATTTACATATCACATAATTGATGTTATTTGTGTGATGGTACATTCTTTATATTAATTCAGCAAAATGCTTAATTGAAAATGAACTCCGTGCAAGAAAGGAGGTGATTGCTTTACCAAGGGCCCAAAAATCAATTGACTTTCCGTTATTAACATCGACCTTGATCAAGACCTTTTTACTTGTCCATGTTTTGAAACTTGATGTCTTATCTTGGAATATATCAAAGAAATGAACGAGATCTGGAGTTCCGCAGTCGTAAAAATCAAATTCCAAAACTAACTGGTTAATGTGAACTGAGGGATTCGCCGTTGATACAAAAGAAAAAAGCCGTTTCAACGATAAAATCGCATTTATCGATTTTTATTTCGTAAATCTTTGATTCGTTTGGCTTCCCAATGATTTACACGCTGCAGATAACCCATTTGCATTAAAAAATCGACAAACAAATCGAGTAACGTTTAAGGGAATTATAACATCACTTAATTATCTCTTATAATAGCTTTTAAGCGTTTTCGAGAAAGGCTTTTACATTCAATATTCTAAAAATACGCGATAATTGCATTTCCTTAAAAAAAAAAGTTGATCCCGATTGGAATGAATGCAAGCTTCAATTAAATTCTAAGAAGAAACAAATTTTTTTTAATCTGTTTAACTCTTTTGTAAAGAGTTCAACAGTTGATCCAAACTTTTTAATTTTTTTAATTTCGATATTTAAACTTTTGAGAGCAATAATCAAAAGGGCGAATAGATAGGCGGGCAAACGTAGTTATCTGTAATCAACCCCCGTACGTTTCTATAAAATCTATTTGAAATACATATTTAAACACGATATGCAAACACGATTTTCATTATGCGTATAAAACTTTTCTCGTTATGAGTATAAGAATTATTTGACCTGAAATATTTTTAATGCATTCCGATACCTTGTAGAATAGGTATATTACTGGCCACAGCCAGTCACATTCTTCTGTCCACCGATCGAATGATCATTCCACTGGCTAAAGTCGGACGTGCGATATGAAGGCTTGCGTAGACGACTAAACTTAATTTCAAACGTTTGATTGGTCGTCTCGCTAAGATAAGTAAGCTATTAAGCAAAATTGATGTAAGAGTCGTCCTACAAATTTCAAAAATTTAATTATTATTTACTTCTTACTAAAGAATGTTGACAAAATTGTGAAATTTGCAGTTTGGCTTAAAAATTCCCAAAATCAACCCAAGTCGGTCTACCTACATTTAAAAAAAAAAAAAAAATCTAATAATTTTGCAAATTTTTCTCTAACTTAAAACGAAAAATATTTATTTATTGGTTTTGAGATTGAAATATCATTGATCATATGATTTGTTATATACGCTGCATATGCTACAATGCGTTACATGATTGACATATCGAATGAACGGATGTTCACTGTATCTTTCAATCGAATATAGCTTACAAAGTAGTAATGGATATTAAAAGAGTAGAGATATATAAATACGAATTTACACAGAGTTTACACATAGATGAAACTAACACCACGTGTAGCACGTGGACATATGTGACTAACGTTGCGCACCTCTGGCAACAATTATCAACAATTTGCTTAACATCAAGTTTTATGCCAAATAAAGAGCATTCGGATTATGCCCTAACTTCCGTTGAAAGATGGATACGTTTTAAAAATCCTAGGCGCACAAATTCTCATTGACTGAATCGCCTTGGCAAATGTGTGTTGGGATCAGAAGATTGTGACCTATTATTAGTATTTGAAGTCTATTGAAATGATTAATACTAAACCCTACATACATTAATTAGTTCGTTCATTTGAATCGTTCGCTATTCAAAAACAAGCGAAATATCAAAAAAGTCAACGCAAAGTCATTTTCTTTCTTTACTAACATCCGAGTATCCATCTATAGGTGAAATCGGTTCGCAATACGTTGAGAGCATTCAACTGGGAAATGCTAGTCCATTCGGCTTACTCAGCAAATCCGAATCCATCCGATCATCATTTGCTTGCATCGAAGGCGCGCACACACTTGCAAAGCAGCATAGGATGACCAGTTTGCCGCAAAGGATCAGCAATTTTCTGACGTGACATCTACAGGCAGATTATCAGGCAGATGGAAATATAGTGTCCGTAGTGATGGACAATGCTTCGAATACCATATATTTTATATATTATCATTTTCATACAGTCAACGTGTATTTTGTATACAACAATTCCGGTCTCATATTTATATAACTATGCATTGCTTGCTTGCTCTGTTCCAAAGCTCTTTTGAAAATCTAAGACATATTAAATTGGCTGCTGCGATTGCAGCACTCGGAAGTTTAAGCAATTATGCGAATTTTTGATTAGCATAATTGAATTTAATAATTTATTTATATATTTTTGTTTATCGTGATTCAAATTGGTCGTAAATATTTCAACCAATTATGATAATAGAGTGCATATAAAGTTCGTAGCACACAACTCATTGGTAAAGATTTATAATGAAAATTCAATACTAAACGATCTGGGTTAAAGTTTTAAGCTTGGCAAAAGATGGTATTGAACCTAGCTAGATCAGCTCCCGAAACTACCGACCGCTTTAAATTTTCTGATTAGTTCGGTTTAAGTACGACATTGGTAGAGTATGCGTGTTGAGCAGCACTGATTTCATATTGCTTAGCAAGTTCGATATTGAGATTTAATTATATTAACATTGTTTACGTTTTTACAAAGGACCATGAACAGGTTAAGTTAACTTAAGTTATGGACAAGAAATTTCTCGAAGTACGATTAGAGACAAGTTTATCTTTCTTAAGAAAGTCAACGAATCAATGCTGCTATTTATTAATTTAACTAGAAAGGAGACACCTAGGAGGAACCTTAGCTTCTCTAGTGAAAGACAAGCTAATAATAGCAATCTATTTTTCCCATAAGGTGACAAGGAGACTAGCGGATTCGATTCGAAACTGCTTTGGGCAAAGAGTATGAATTGCTTGTGATCTGATTCTATTGAATTGATGTAAAAACTGTACAAAGGAGGCCACAGTGCAGAGGAATTTTCCAAAATAAGTCTTACCAAACTCATGTATAAACTTTTAATAACATGTGCATCGTCGAACTCTCTCGATCATCTTTTAATAATGGCGAGCTCAGTCCTAGCTAAAGGTCTTCCTAAAAAGTGCGTTACGATTGATCTGTCCTTAAAGAAGGCACTCCGAAATGAAGAGATGTAAGTTGCAATAGTAAAAACTACTTTCCATAGTTGTCAAATAGATATGCATCTCTACCTTTGTGCAGTGGGATAAGAAGGTAATTTTTTCAGCATAACGGACACACCAGTGCCAGCTAGAGATTGAATGAAAATGTTTGAAATTATGTTCGCATAATTCTTCCCGATACGAAGTAAGCATGAATGGGGATACGCCATTCTCCCCGCGGGACACAGCTACGCTTCAGTAACGTTAACTCCTAAAGTACATCCAGCTCCGAAGTAGTGATATTTCGAATAAAAATATGGTCACATATTTGGTACGGGTAATTGCTCGGTGACGATTTCATGATCGTCAGAGGAATCACATGACATCAATGAAGGGACATTGGAGACCTTCCTCTTGGGTTAACAAATTTCTAAAAATATTTAGGATTAATACGAAGTGATGTTTCTCCATGTATATGCCAAGACTTTCTTGAGTCCTATAGTTGAGTCTACGCCTATCCACAGAATATTGCAGATAATCCTAAGAAGACCCAATTTTCAAATACCTGTTCAAAAAGTTTGTTTTTCTTATTTTTATAGCATTTAAGTATCCCATTAAACAACGATGGATGGGTGTTCCGATGGGATAGCTCTCTAGTCGAAACGACTACTGAAAGGGCTGAATTTAATAAGTAGAAGAACGATGGGATATTGAGATATCTATTTCCACAATTATGACCCCAAGATTATAGTTAGTTAGCTGTTGTGCTTGGAAGAAAGACACTTGGCCTATTGGTATGGTGAAGTGGGCCTTCATTATCCCCAGAACTAGCATACAAGCATTGAATTGAGTAATGGATCATATGCATCCTCAAATAAACTGAACGCTAAACAGCGCCTAACTAGTACTTTCGGGAAATTACAAAATCAAGGATCAACGAGTCTTTCAATACAATTAAGAACTTGACTATATTGAAAGAGATTCAAGTCTGATAATTCATTATAAAACATAAGGATCATATAACCACAATTATCACTAGGACACCAACTGACATGAGGAAAGTTAATCCGAAGATATTCATTCGTGAACGATTCATTTATTCAATTTAATAATATTATTTGTCCATCCGTCCGCTTCTTCATGTAATATCACAAGGGAACATAAACCGATGTAAAGGTATGAAAAATATCTTTCATGTTCGTATTGTTGGGAGTAAATTAACTTTGATGAGCCTTTCGTAAATATTCCTTTAACAGGTAGAAAATACGACAAATAAAAATTCACGCACACATAAATCTTCTGTAACTTACAAAATATAATAAATATTGAAAAAAGATTTCACATAAGTATCGAAAATGATTAAAAATGGTCCCAATCGATTAGTTAAATATAATGGATAAGGTGTACACTCCCGCTTCGCATTACGGTGAGTATCGTGACTTTCGTACAAACTTATAGCAAAAACTCTTTTTCATTTTTTCTTCCATGCGCATCGAAGAAAGCAATAAACCTGTTAACTGTTAATAATGCGAATAACTCGTACGCGTTCCTCGTTTATTAAAAGAGATGTTAATTTATTTAATTATCCGTCTCGCTTTCGCGATACACCATATATTTTTAGCCTTAACTCAAATGTTTGATAATTATGTCAATATTATATTAATATCAGATGTTCAACGAAATTTCTATGCCCTACATTATTTAGGCAAAGAGTAAATTAAGTTCGTTGAGATGTATGCAAAAGTCAGAAGAACTTAAGATAGACCCAGATTTTATTAGACCAATAAATTCTGAATTGATTTATATAAGTCTATCTGTCCAGTTGAATTATCCGAAATATTTTAATGAAATATATTTTGGCCCAAGGGCGAAGAAATGGATTGGAAATGAATTGGATCAGACAACTTTGACGGCTATATGTCATGAATATAACGTCCTATGAATAATTGTTGCATTTTACAATGTTTTTTAGCCAAAAAACAAACGACAAATTATATATTTTTCTATTAAATGAATACGAAAAATTTAGATCAGATCGGATGGGATCAGCTTTTGAATTGCTTTACATATAAACGTTCTCGTATATGGTAATAAGATCTATTGGTTCGGATTTGTGATTAAAATTGGTACAGACCACAATCTAATTTTTTAACGCATATATATGTATATATGTATTTACTGCCTTAAATTTACACTACATGTGCCCACTTTAACCCACATCAGTGAGCAAATAAAAGTTAAATCTTTATACGGCAACATAATGCAATTCTATATATATATATTTTGATGAAAGCCGGTGAAGAGCTTGTACTATATGTTTTAGTTATAAAATATAAATCGTAACAAAGTTTTAAGCTCTAAACTATTCAAAAATATATGCTTCAATTTTTTTTTTACTTCAGGTGTATGGAGAAAATGGATTCGTATTTAATGGAAATTAAACAGTTGAGAATACCGCGCCCAAAATATGGACCTAGTGGTAGCAGTCCGACACGTTATCATTTGGATCGCCCCTATACGCCACCGCGCGATTATAATATAAGCGGCAATGAAAACAGCTTAAACAGTCACACGACCGCCTACCAAGAGGGTGGTGAAGACTTTCAGCCTTCATCCCATAACAAATTCTAATATTCGCAAGAGAAATTATAATTTAAAAAAAAAAAAAAAAAAAAAAAAAAAAAAATATTTCATAGCTTTTATGTATCCTCTTTTTCCGTCTCTTTTTAAATTAGCTTAAGAGTGCATGTATGTGTGTATGTACTGTTTCCAGTAAAATGCTTTATAATTTGTAAATTCTTTAAGAAACATTAATTGTATTTTGTTTTATGATCCCAATACATGAATGTAAGAAAATTGTTTAAATTTTTTATAATACCTACCTACTATCGTCGGTATGTTTGTCGAATGTTTGTAACGTATTAAAAGATAATTTGAATGCTCTGTAAATATTATATGTATTTTTTACCATAGCGTAAATAGCAGACTTAAAATTAAAAATTCATCAGACCAATCATACGCTTGTCGGTAATTGTATTAAAATTATGTTTACATGATTTGCAAAATTTGATTTAGAACACCACCAAACTTGATCTAAATGGGTTTCCCTTTGTTAGTATCGGGCTCAATCCAATACAAATAGTGAGTTGAAAATTAGTAAGAAAATTATTCTAGTCTTTGGAAAAATCTTATAGGAATTATATAAGAATTGTGTTTTATTTTGGTAAGCGAAGGGATTGGAAATGAGTGCTAGTTGGTCTATTAATATCATTTGCGCATTTGATAATCATTTATATATAGAAAAGTCTAAATCAATATCACATAAAATTTAAATTATCTGGTAACATGTCAGTAAATAATCTCCGAAATTGATATTAACAGATATTATCTCGAACGTAGAATCAATGTTACTACGAAAACGGGTGTATGCCCCCCCTCGCCGAAATCGTGAACTCAATGCATACACTAAAGATTTTTAAAGTTCTATGTAATGAATTACGGAAATAAATCATTAAATAGACACCTGAAGAACAACCATTGTTATCAGTTACCGGGTACACTGTTTTGTTTTTATCTTTAAACACCGTCCATTTAAGTTTGTCGAATCCTTTCCATCCAAAACAATTTGTTATACCCTATGCTATTTCTAGTAAGGAGGTACAAAGTTTCCGTGGATGGATCAACAAACACCCAGGAAGACTTGGTATTGGTCCATATTTTATTACAAAGCTGAAGTGGAAATTAATTTTTAAATCTCTTTAAGCCGTCCGTCTGCCTGTCTACTCGATGTCGTGTTGTGTTTAGTGCACGCACATGTTTTGGCCCAAGAAGAAATGCTCTTGCAAAGTCAACCAACTCCTATATATATTTTTTAATATTTCTGGACAACAGCCAGTGAAAATTATATATTTTACCGTATAAATAGGGAAATTTTTGATAGTATAGAGAGAAATTTTTGAATGTCGTCCTGCTACGTAAAGTTCCTTGTGAGGGATAATCTTTTTTATAAAAGAACAAATCCTGCTTTTTCGTATTTCGCCATAATAATTAGCCCAGACCGATGATTTCACCTATAAATGCGCTATGAGAAATTTTGACTACATAGATCTATTTTTTTTTGGCTATGAACGCCGTGTTTACCGCTCGAATCAAATTCATTTTCAAACTATTTGATTTTGAAAATAATAGCAATGCAAAGTTTTAACTTTTGATTTCAAGTTTTACGACTTCCCCGGACGGGGTGGGCTTGGCTAAGTGAACTTGACTATTAACAATAAATGAATACCTTATGATGGCTTCCAATGCGACGAAATGTCATAATATTCTATCTATTTTCGGGTAATAGATGTAAAATGAATTGACCTACTAGAGCTGCACTTGAAAATTTGGGTAATTCTTATAAATCATATAATAATACGTAATTCACAAGCAAGTTTACTTGTAGGTGCAGGTGTTACTATGTCTCTACATCATGTGTAACAATGCTGGATGCTGGAAATCTTGGACAGATGATACCTTAAGAGAAACGCATTTAAGTTTGGTGTCATATTTTCGGTCCGAACACACGTTGTCACATAAACTGAGCCCGCAATTAAATTAACGTGAATCTTCAAGAAGGGAAGCAAAGTAAATCTTACCTTAATTTTAAATGTCAGGCAAATAGATTTAAAATTATGATTTACTTTTGATTGCAATCAGAGAGATATATGTTATGCGTTACAAAAGTATTGATAAAATAAAAAAGCCTAGTAACAGTACTGTATTCGTGATTGATAAGGTGAATGAGTGGGTGAATCAGTGAGTGAGTAAGTGAGTAAGTGAGTAAGTGAGTGAGTGAATGAGTGAGTGAGTGAGAGAGTAAAAGAAGAATCCCTTACTCACCACATCATGTTCGTATTCCGTGTGCGGTAATCGAGTTTCACTGCTTCTTCGTGACCTATGTTCATCATAGCCGTAGTCCTATCGAGGCATCCAATTTTTTTTTTTTTTTTTTTTTTTTTTTTTTTTTTTGGTTTAGTTTGATATTTTCATATTATATAAAAAAAATAAGCCAATGTATATATATAAATTAATAAATATAAAAATAAACAAAAAAAAAAAAAAAACGAAAAGTGTTTGATAAAATACAATAAAATTAATTTAAACAAAATTATTTACACAAAGTACGTAATTAATAAGAATTTGTACATAAAAACACGAATCATAGCCAATAAGTCAAAACAATGATCTCATTATAATTACAAGAATAAAAATTTTCGAAAACAGATATATCATACTTCAGAATATATCTCTACATATGTGAAGAGATTATAGTGCAGGGTCTCCATTGTAGGAGATAGTCTATTTAAACCTGACTTTTACACACGCACACATACACATTTCAACCCTATGACCGTGTTTGTCTGATTTGAATAGTGTCAAGAATGCGAATGTCAATTTTTTATGTTGATCTCTGAAAATGACAACACTCGAGTGATCGATTTTTATTTCTAATTTTTTGTTTTCCCCTTCTTTTGCATTTTTTTAAAATTTTTTTTTTTTTTTTTGTAAATAAAAGCGCAATAAAAAAATGATGTATGAAGAATGTAAAAGGAATGTGAACAGAATTCGAAATTGAAATTTTGAATTTTGATATTTGAAAGTATCGCGTAAAAGAGAGAGGGTAAAGTGAGATCGGAAATAGAAAGTAGAGTGAGAAGCTTGGATTTGCTTATTATTTGTATTGTGTGTTACTTATATACAACGTATATAAGAAGATAAAGTAGAAGTTTTATATATATTTATATACATATATAGGTAAGTGTATACACATACGTACATTACATACATATGAATGCATATATGATCATCACCTGATGTTGATTGTCAGTTTGCAATATTTTGTTTTGATTTGTTCCCATTACTTGAGGCTGTATACAGCTATCGGTATAAATATACTGCTTGAGGGGCGTATTATGAGTGGTACTGCTAAACGTTGGTCCCATGAATTTGGCATTTGATGAGTTTCCTCTGCCTAGGTGTCGCAATGAGGCATGATGACTGTTAAATTCGACACGAGGATGCAATAGCCCTGACCCGGATGAGTATGCGGATGAGTTCTGAGGTTGAGATTGTTGAAATGGTAGTTGTGGCTGTGAGATATGATAGTGTTGTTGTTGTTGTTGTTGTTGTTGTTGTTGCTGTTGTTGTTGTTGTTGTTGTTGTTTTGAACGATGCAAAACAGGTCCCGCTGACATGGGGCGATAGGGCAATTGTTGTATCGTTCTAAACATAATTTAAATGTTATTTATGTTTTGAAAATTTAATCGGTTTCAATTTTAAAATGCGGCATTTTTTTTTTTAATTTGAGGGGAATAAATAACAATGGCGTAGGAAAGAAAGCGTGAAGAAAAGGTGTTTGAGAGGTACAGAGAGAGAGAGAGAGAGAGAGAGAGAGAGAGAGATAGAGAGAAAGAAGCAGAGAGAGAGAGAATAAGAGAAAGAAGCAGAGAGAGAGAGAATGAGAGAAAGAAAGAAAGAGAGAGATAGAGAGAAGGAGAAAGACGGAGAGAGACGGAGAGAGATAGAGAGAGAGCGAGAAAGTGGTGGTAATAATACCGATCTTTATTATCCGTCATAGTCATGCCCAGCCCCGAATCTGAAGAAGGACTTCTTCCGGTAGCAGCGCTTACTTCCAAATCGACATCGGTCACCTACATATATAACACACAGCATTTGTTTTATATAAAAAAACTCGTTTACCATCCAGAGGCTTAACTTTTTAATTATTTATAAATTATTTTATTCATTTAGAATGCATTAATGCTTGACTAGTGTGGTGTGCTCTTAGCAATATTGCAAACTGCTTTTGCTTTAAATTTCAATTTAATTAAATATGTATCGGTTTGTTTGCTTTTTTTTTTTTTTTTTTTTTTTAAATATTTTTAGTGCTAGTAACAATAATCTTCGATAAAATTTGTTATACTATTTCTGCACCGTGTTGTCTTATGCGAGTATTAAACACGCTTTAATAAGTGAGAGATTGGTGGTGAATAGTTATTTAATTAAGGGTGATTTTATATAGTTTTCAACTAAGTGGTGAAAATGTTGTGTTTCTGGGTTACTCGTATACAAAAATTGTCAATAACTAAAAATTTTCTATTTATTTATTGTTTCGATAAACTTTACTTTCAAAATGCAAATAACATTTGATTTTAAATTAATTAGTGCTTGTAGAGCGCGATTGATTTATTTTCCGCACTGAATGTGTTATTCAGAAAAAAAATATATATATCGTATTTTGGAAAATAATAAACGCAAAAAATATTCCAAACGCAATCGAAATCCCTATTATTCAAAACTATATGTTCTTTCAGCTTTTTAAAAGGTCCGTTTCTCATGTTGCGACCATCGTCGCGATAAAGATTTATCATATAAATATATATAACATATAATATCCCATTATGACGTTTGGATTCTCATCATCTAACGCAAGCGTATAAAAATTGATTTTTTGATAAATTTTTACAAAAAAAAAAAAAAAAAAAACAAAGATATCCCTGATGTTAGAGGTTGAAAATAATTGAATTAGAGGTGGTTTGGGTTTCTGAGCTCACTTTAGCATGTTCCGAAATCAAATAAATTTTTGCAAGAAATTATCAGACGCGCGCGATTAAACGCATGGTTAGCCCGAGGGACGTAAACAAAGCGACTTAGAATTCTAACGCTCATCAAGTCCTTATCTATATTGTCTCCAGTATGCATTAAAAGTGAAATGAAAAAAATTTTCTATTCGTCATCATTCTGAGAGCGAAATAAACTGATGGATTAACTAATTACTTTTTTTTTAGCCTCTTTATTATTAAATTCGCATTTTGGCTCAGCGGAAACATTTGAAAAAATATTTAATTATTTCGGTTTAAAAAATTTGCTCGTAATCGTTATATCTATTAATGTTATAAAGTTCATAAATATTTGATGAGCCCAAGATCCGCCCGTCTCCAAGACTTGTGCCCTAAACATTGAATTAAATAGTCGACAGTTATTACATGTGTTTTTAGGGGTGCAGGCCATGTTTGAGAAAGGGTCCTTAAACCTACTGTCTCCTATTGATTTAAGAGTAAGTACAGATACTTATCAAATCCATGTCATTTTTGCACATATAAAGTGGTTTCCGGCCCGACAACTGAGACGCCCATAACTAACAAAAACGTTTGCAAGTTTTCACATACTCGCTTTAGGTGGTGAACTACCAAACTTCAAGGACATATAATTTCTTTACTCTTCTGCTTATAACTTTCTCAGGTTCATATATATCAACAATGCCGTTTGTAAGCCTAGGACACTGAAGAACCCGAAACTGTGAATATGTTTTACCCATCAGAAGCAATGTAATGAGAAAGCTCAGTATTGCATAAAAACTTGCATGGGAGACTCTATACAGATTTGTTTTTATACCCTACATAGTATATGTGGAACAAGGACGTATTACGTTTGTGCAGATGCATGCAATACCGATAAGAACTCGGGATAGATTCACCTCTTATTATACATTGCGCAGTCCATCTGTTCTTGTTTCCTTGTGTTCAGTTCGCAATTTTTGAAATGTGTTGACGCAATGACAAGCGCTAGTGCAAATGTTTCCACTTCCAGCACCTTCCATATACCACTTTATTTTGTCAAATAATCAAATGGTGTTAAATAAAGTGGTGCAGGATATTTAATTGTGAACAGCGCTCCACTATAATGTTTTTACTCGTTTTCCTAACAGCGCCACATAGTGGCATCAATTTAACTACGCCCTTCTGTCTGTATTTGAAAGCTGTGTACGAAAAAATCTATTACTACAAAGTCAGTCCTTGTCTCACGCTTCGAAACGTTGAAGGCTAGTTATAACTATCCATAAGTCCATTCAATGTTATGTACATTTTTGCCTTTTTTTCCTAGCATACACTGTTAAATATGTAGAGCTCTTAATTTACTTGATGCGTTAGGCTCGGCTTTTGAGTTGTTTTGCAAGCAAATTTCCGTGCAAAGTAATTAATGTAAGTCCAATCAAGATTTCTCTCGAAAGTACAAAGACAATGCATTTAAATAATGGAGATTATGTATGTACGTATGCATTATAAATATATGTATGAAGTATTGCGAAGATTTCCAAAAAAATATCATTTAAAATAAATGCTACATACGATATATGCGATACGGATACGTGGATGTTTATCGAGCGAATAGATCTTCGTTTTTCTTTGCAATGAAGATGTATCCGTGCCTAAATTTATGATGGGCATCATCAAAATTGGGCCCAAGTCAAATTTAATTACGCTTCTTTTTTTTCTTTCTGTATATTTTAATTTCTGCATTTATTTCTGTAATCGTAACAGTAGTAGTTTCCGGCTTGTGTATTTAATGTTTGCGTGGAATATCCTCTAGTTCCTGATTTGGCAATAATAATTAAGATGTTTAATGATCTACGACAATTGTAGCGAAAAGGCGCCACAGTCCTATCCGTATGATAAGAAAATTTGCAGCACATCACAACTTGGATCAAATTTGTATTTTAGAGAGCATGAAAGGGACTTGTTTTGTTTAATGAATTGAATGAGTTGTGATTAATTTAATGACATATTAAAGAGTGCTGGTGGGCGCTAATGATATAAAGACTGTTACTTTTAAGCTTGCTACGCTTTTTATAAATAAACTATTAAGCGAAAGAATGTAAATAACTATTGATTAGCTTCATTTAATATCTCTTCATATCATTACATAAGTAACTCTTTGGGAAGAGTTTAACTAAATCGTCAAAATGAACGATTAAAAGATCAATATGTTTTATCAACAATAAAAAAAAAAACGTATTGCGCTTGTCCTACGAATAAATAAAAACAAACTTTAGAAAAGGTTCGCGTCATTTGACAACGTTAGGCAATGTATGTAATATGGGAAACACTTTTAAGAAAGACCCATATTTTCAAATGTACAAATGATACCGTCCGATACTGGCCAATGAAAATATGCTTACATTATAATCATATCGTTTTAAGAACGCATTATTTGATAAATATTTCCCATATAATCTCACAATAGCGCAATAAACGAGATAAACAAGTGTCGACCAATATGGTTAAATTAATCCAGCGACCCCTCTTACTACATATATATATATATATATATATTTAAAACTTCGGGACCATTTATCTAACATGGCAAGAAATATTTATCCCTTAACACAAAGTATATAATTTCAATGCAGACTATGTCGTGCTTACGACTAACTTATTAAGTGATGAATTATTTTCTAAATGTGAACTCAAAACTTATGTCGCAGCGTCATAATTGATTTATTTCATAGATGTAATCGTTTTCTAGTTTCATTATTTTTGAGCGTACGACAACTGTCGATTTCGCAAAATTTCGTAAAGGACAACGTTACTCCACTTTGTATTAATAATGGTCATCTAGTCTAGTATAATATCTATCCAAGTACGAGAAACACTTGCTAATTGTCAGATATTTTAATGTCTGTCTAATATCTATTTAAGCTTTTAAGCAGAAGTAGGAAAATTATATTCCAATTGTAATCGGATTTTTTATACCCTTCACCGTTAACCTCTAAAAAAACTCTGAAAAAAATGAAAAGAACTAAATTTTCATACTCTATAACGTTGGGTGAGCGCGGCAGACTCTTCCTATTTTCAGAATATGTTTCGATCAAAAAGCACTTTTTCTTGCATAGGCGCGGTGGGCGTGTCCTTTAATCGGGTTCGGTTTGTATACTACATAATTGGACAGACGGACAGATGCTCAGGCAAAAAGACGAACATCATTAGGCGTATTCCGAAGCTGAAATTGGTCAAGAACATATATATATATATATATACTAATGGGTTTTTGAAGCTTGTTTCTGGGCGTTATGAAGGTATTAAAAAAAAAAAAAAAACAAAATTAAATTTCGATCGACTAAAATATTTGATAGGCATAGTCAATTTTTCTAATTTTTGTCCAGGTACTACATCATCGCTCACAGAATATGCATTCAAATTGTGGCAGAATTATCAACTGTAGTATATTAGTTGGGAGCAAAAGCGTGATCTTTTGTTCTTTTTGAAATACGTAGGTGTTCTCAGTTCATGTAACACTGTAGCCGTGTCCTTCAAACGATTTGGCCTCGTCTACCCTACCATCCTGCGCGCAAGAGCTTCCAATTTATCTGTCAAATTTGCTTAAATCGATTTGGGGTCGAATGGGGGTCACTGCCAAATTCCATTCTAGGCGCCGCAAACGATTTGACAATATGAATAGACCCCTTAGTGTTCAGTGATGGGGATAAAAATGTCATTTCATTTGCATTTCTATTAAGATAAAGCATGAACTTAAGCAATATCTTTGGGAGTTTTACGTCCCGTCCCATTTCTAAACCGACTGATATTCCGATAGAAGCAAGCTATTTTTCTCGCGTATTGTTTGACTCGTTTTCTCCGAGTAGCTTGTAAAAATTTAATGCTACACACAATTGAAAAATATATTTAAGTTGATTATTTTCCAAAATTTTTCAAATATTTTTTTCTGTATCAGAATATTATTCAAATATCTATCGATATTCGATATCGAGAAAATTAAATATTTCTTTTAATTTTCTTTTATAAAATGAATCGACTGAATTAGAAAAATTGACATTCGGCTTAATAAATTAATATACCTACATATGTATTTACTTCGATTTAACGTAAGGGAAATAAACTGAAATTTTCTCTACAAAATAGGAAAATAAAAAATTCTTCATGAAAAGTTTTATAATTACTTTGCAACTTTATTTCGAATAATAATTATTTAGCGACACACAGAGAACACAAATAAAGGGTTAAGTCATTTCTTAGTTTCTTGTAGCGTTGTTTGTGAAGGATAGATAACATGCAACAAAATATATCTATATATGTATGTATGCATTTCCTATATATATATATATATAGATAGATCTATTATATTAGTTAGTTAGTTATATTTAATTATGTTTCTAAATATGTCAAAACTTTTTAAACTCGTTGCTTACAGTGTACCTTTATGTTTTAACGTGTTGTCATTCATGTGAGTGTAGTGCGTGTGTGAGTTTATCGTTTTCTTAAGTATTTCGAGTTTCAAATTAATTATTGTCTCTTCATTTTTCATTATTTATTGCGAAATGTTGTGATTACCATTCATTGCTTTTTCTAGTTTTTTTTTTTTTTTTTGTTTAATTTTTATGGCTTTGCTGGTGTTTGTTTTTTGTTTTTTAAGTATATATATATATATATACTTATTTTTTTTTTATTTTATTTCTTTAATTTATAGTTATGCCAATGAAAGAATTTAGAAGAAGAAGAACACCACCACAACAACAACAACAACGACAACAATAATAATAATAATAATAATAATAATAACAACGACAACGACAACAACACAAACGACTTTACTAACAACAACTTTTACATACAGCAACCAATCATGATACACTCACTCTCTTAATAACAAAAGTAATTTTAAAAAATTAAGAATTTGTTTTCAATATTTATATCAATTATAATTTAAAGTAGTTAAATTAAAAGAAAAAAGTGTACGAATTTTTTTTTTTTGCTCTAAAAACAACACATACAAATACATTGAACATGCGATTTTTTGTTTTTATTTTCTTTGCTTTTCTTTTCTCTTTTTTTTTTTTTTTCTTTGTTCGATGACTTTGTTTTCTTTTTGATATTAGTTTATAATAAAATTCATAGACAGTACGAGTGTACGCACATACATATAATAATTAATAGTAGTAAATAGTGTCAGTGTCGTAGAGTAAATCTTCTAAAAAGCTTACCGGCAAATCACGTACGTTCTCTCCTTTACGCTAAAATGGTAAAAAAGAAGAAGACAAACCGTTTCGGCAAATGTGTAGAAATTCGTTAAAAGCTTTTACTTCTCAATTCAAATATATTTCAACTTACCCGCACTCTTTCGCTACCGTAAGGATCACGTTCTCTTCTATAAACTAGCTCATCATAACGGGTGCGATCTTCCGGAAATATGAGTTCACGTATTTCCGTTACCAGCGTATGCTAAATAATATCAAATCAATTTTATTTTATTTTTTTTTAATTCTCAAACAATACTCATTGAGAAAGAGCGTAATGTATCTTTACCTTTTCGTATGTATCTAGCATTTCAAGTAAGACGGCTACAAAGGCATCTATGGTCATTGCTTTCGCACTATATTCAGCTATGTAATACGAAAGACTTGCGAAATGATGTCGAGGCAAAAGTGAACGAGCTTTCTCCTCAACCATGGCCGTAATTTGACCTTTTCGACGAGCTCTATAAATTAAATATAAAAGAAAGGCGTAAATATACTTAAATTAATGAAAAAGTCTTATAACACTATGCCAAATAAACGAGCCACCTCGAAAAACGAGAAAAATTGCTGACTGCCATAACATATATTTTGCTATCTAATCTTGATTTTATTTATTTCTTACCTTGTCCCCGTTGGACTATAAGCATCCCAAGGCTCTATTTCAATGGAGGTGCAGGAATGCGGCACTTTGCCAACGTCGCGTATGAGCAATGACATACGCTTATGATACTTTAACTGGCTGACCGCCTCATCATGAGTTACATCCTGAAATGATTGGCCGTTGACTTCTAATATTTCATCACCCACCATTAACCCAGCACGGTCCGCTACACTTTCCTTATCTACACCGGTAACAAATATGCCCAAACCATATTCAACGCCACCGCGTATCATTAATCCTAACGATTGTCCGGGCTCTATTAGCAATTCGACACGTCTTATTCTGCAATTAGTTCAGAATCAAATTAATTGATAAATGTATCAACTTTTTTTTTTTTTTTTTTTGTATTCCTTGTATTAATGCTTACCTATCGCGACGGTCGGATCTGCGACCGCCGTATTCCATAGGCGGTGAGGCGGGTCTACCATGACGATCCATCCAGGAACATGTTTGACGAAATGGTAAGGTCCCTGTACTCCCTATGCTAGTACCTACTGGTAATGCCGTTTGTGTTTGGGACAGCAGGGGAACCATAGATGCATACATCGGATCTCTAGAGGGTGGACCGAAGCCATGCAAAGGCGCTGTCGTACTCAGTATGGGTGGTGAACGTACCGTCATACTGATTTGACGTGATGATTTCAGTATCTGCACACATCTCTGCGTTAAGAAAAAATATGGCAATAGAAGAAAGAAGAGAGGAGAAGAAGCAGACATACCAAGAAATTAAGTGTTAAAAAAAAAAAAATAATAAACAAAATAAATAAATAAAACAAAATTTAATGAAAGAATAAACCTGAAGTAAAAAAATTTTTAATTTTAATAATTTATTAAGAAATACTGAAAAAATACTAATAAAATAAAAACGAAACGAAATAAGAAAAAAAGATTTTTATGACACAATATATATATATTTATATATATATATATATATATATATATATATGTATTACATAACAAGCCCAGACATTAATCATTTATCATGTAAGTGACGCCGATTATCTATTATAATATTTTAAAGATTCATTAGGTTTGAGGTGCAACACGGATATTTCCTGGAAATACTATAGACATCGAAAACTGTACGAAGTTAAACTTAATTCACATATTACCCACTCATCCATTTTTTTTTTTTTTTTTTTTTTGTTTCCTCAGTGTTGCATGACGCATGGAAACTCTTTCATTATTATGGTAAACAGCATCTATTATTTTCTTCTAACATTATTTTGTTATTTGACATTATGACGCTACTTTGCACAAAACTTTTCTTAAAGGGAAGATGATTTCAAATGAAATTTAAAAATGCTTTGTTTTCGAATAATTTCAAAATAATTCGGCACGAAATGGATTAAAGAACATAAATTCTTTAAATTATAGGTTATAGCGAAATAACAACATCTATACCTTACAGTCTCAAAATCGACAAAATTGAGTTAATTATTTCGACACATAAAGAGACCGAAAACCAAACCTAGATTGCTTGAATTCATTGGCTGATTTTATCAATAATAACGTGAAATGTTCAAAGCATTTGCTTTCTCCGCGGGTCGGGATGGCAAGGTTAGTTTTGTTACATCGTGCATCCATTAGTCTGCTACCGCTTTCAGAATTCCGTCTGGCCCTTTCGTCTTAGTTCTCCTTGAATGAACTCTGTGTTATGTTCTCTTAGATTACCTATTGAACCTTAAAAAAAACCTTTCAAAGGCAATGAAAGCCTATCAAAGTGCAAATTCGTCCCTTGTTTTAGTCTCATACTTGGTCATAAGCTATATTATGGAAATATCAGCCAAAGACAGGGAGGTAAATTAAATTCAAAATTTCAATTAGCTAACTTCGAGCAGAATAAAAAAGGCTAGTAGGAGCAGTTAGTGATAGTAGGGAAGGCAACCGATTGACTGTAGGTAAAAAACCATTGAAATAATCTGTAAAGGGAATTCGTTCATACTCCCTTCACTTCTCATACTTTTACGGATCATGGATGTACACATCCACCATTCTTCTGAAACATGTGATCTTCTAGTATGGCTTTTATTTCCTCCAGATTTTCCAAGATGCGGTTTTCGATTTTTATCTACGCCTTTTGGCTTGGAGGCCCTGAAGCGCATACATCAAAAGGCTCAGATTCTTAGGGGCGACAAAAGCGTATCCAAAAATCTCGATATCCTTGAACACCGGCGTAATGTGGAGTTGCGCAGTATTGCGCCTGTGTACGAGTATGTCTAGAGTAAGTGCAAGAGATAAAAGCGATTTGTCCATCAATTAATTAGATTTTTAGCAGGACTCTACATGGCTTTCTCTCCTTCCAGAGTCACTTGTATGCCGCACAACACACTACCGCGACTTGTCGCTCTTTACTATACCATTTTCAAGTCGAAAGCCCACAAACATTAATCCCTTTCTCTACACGTACCCTCTCTCTCTCTCTCTCTCTCTCTCTCTCTTCCTATAACCCTTCCTGATCACCACCCTGTCCACATGTTTACGGCACATTCCCTGGGTGGGCTGGGTTCATACAAAAAAAAAAAAAAGTTACCTTAGCTCAAGGAGAGCCGCAAACACCCTATTAGAAGAGGATGATAATTTAACCTATACCTTTATTACAATGCACAGAAATTATCTAAGATAAATTTACTTTTTGCATCTCTCAAATATAGCGTTCAGCATATAACTTGAAGTTGTTTTGAAGTCCTGGTTATTGTGAAATTTTGGTTATTTATATCTAATTAATATATGTTATTTATATAATGTTTAATTTGCAAAAATGAAAGCAAAAAAAAAAAAAATGATTAAAGAAATAGGAAAAGCAAAATGTTAACACATCAATCAATATGAAAACTAGTAAAATAAGTTGGAAATGCTATCAGAAAATAGATAAAAGTTTAAAGTGAAGAATATAACTTAATTGAGATATCAGATCTATTGCCAATTTTTTCTCAAAGTGCATTAGTGTTTTACCAATCGATACGTAGACTTAAAATAATTTATTTTCAAAAAAAAAAAATGTTCATCGCATCTCAAAAATTAAAATCGAAAATAATTTGGAAAGCTAACTCAGTCCGGATTGCAAAAAAAGATCGATTGATTATATCTAAAACTAAAGTGCACATAGCATTGCCAGCGAATAAATAATTCACGTTACTGTGGCGCTATCAAATTTTTTAAACGCTGCAGGTCATCAATCAGAAGCATATTATCATAGTTAACTTGTTTTTTTATTTTTTTTTTATTTTTTACTTTTTGCAAATTTGCGCGAATTTTTCATAAATCATAATAGCCCCTATATCCGGAATTTACTTACGAACAGGCGATGTTCTATGATTTCAATTGTGATATCACGATTTATTTAACATTAAATTGATTTAACTTCGAAAATAGCGCACACATTAACAGACGTCTTTTTTTTTTTTTTTTTGTAAAACTTTGCTTTTTGTTTTTCTCCAGTGTGCACTTCAATTATATATTTGGGGTCATTACGTTTGCAATGTTTGCTTATACTTTTTTTTTCTTCTTGTTCTTCTTCTTTATTTTTTGCTCTTTGATAATTTAAGTGCATTAAATTACGATTTTTATGTAAAAGATTAATTAAATTTTTAAAATAGTTTAATATAAGGGAAAATGACTTACTTTTAACGCCTCCTCGTGATTGATTGAAGTGAACGGTGTGCCATTCACTTCTAGGATTGTATCACCGGGACGCAAACCAGCACGTTCCGCTATAGAGTTTTCCTCAATGCGGGATATATACACACCCAATCCTAATATCGATATATATATAGATAAGAAAGAAGACAAGCTTTAAATTACAATTATTTAAGTATGTATGTATGCAATAAAATCAGGACATGTTATTAAGAGGAATGGGCTAATATATGACTTAAATTAATCGGATATATCTCAAATGGAGGCCATTATTGGGGTGATTTTTATGATCATCTGAGTCATGGATTTCAGGATGTATCTTTATCGATCGCAACTTATAGAAACTTATAGAAAAATATAAAAAGAAACATGGCCGTACATTCCAAGGTTATCTCAATTTCTTCCATAATGTTGATGCCCACCTAATCGAAGCACGGCCATCTTTCAACTTCGTGTTCTCAATCGATCAAGAAATGTTTGTGCGAAATCTTAGTTGCCTATCTTTAATTCTCTGAAAGTAGCTCAGTTCAGACAGACTTCAGAAAAGTTATAAGTCAAAACCACTTATAATAACAATGGAAACGAGTTTATGTTATCAATACCTTTGAAACTAGACCATGTAGAGACAATTGATTGTGGGTATTTAAAGGCCTTTTCAAAACTCATTAAAAAATTCTGGTATGTCAACTTTTTTTTTTTTTTTTGTGGGTTCAAGAGGTATTAAAGGTAAGATTGAACCACGCGATAGCTGTGATATTAATGATCCAAAAGATAAATTAAGTAAATGAAAAATGATATTTATCTCAGGGCTGATCATCATTTGACATACACAATATTTAAACATACAATATTTAAACTTTAAACATGAGTATACACTATGTGGGCCATATGTTGGGGGGTTTTGTATCCTAAACTAGCTTGAGATCGAGTTTTTGGGAAAAAAATGACAAATCGCTGGTTTCTTCCTTTATTGTAAGCAAATCAAAGGACTGCAAAGTAAAAGAAAACAATTTATTTTCAGCTTGATTCGAATCTTTGATATTCCGTTGCTCGCACTCTAAGTATGTGTGCATGTATGCAAAAAAAAAAAAAAAATTATGTTAAGTTAAGATTTAATTCATGGACTGAAACGAAACTTCTACTTTCTACTTGAATTTTTCCAACAGCAGGACGCATAGAACGATATCGATATATCGATTCCGAATCGGAAGTTGTAATACGCAAAGCACCTACTGTTACTGGTTTTTGATTACAAATATATCTCAGAGTCTCTGAGTGTATTGCACACTTTTCGGATAATTAGTCGCATGTAAAATGTGCTGAACTTTGCAATCCATTTCATGAAGCTTCTTAGCCTCTTTCTATTAACGACAGAGTGCGCTTTTTTGCAAATTCAATCTGTTATTGGAAACAGACAACAAACAGATTCATGTATGAACGGAGAAAGCATAGAAATGCCAGCAAAAAGACAAGAATACGTAAACCTGATTTACAAAGCCTTCAATGCTTGCTGCCAATTATTGCGATCAGATGAAGAAATCTACTCTTTCGTCACATTGGAATCGTGATTTCAAAATTTTGATAGGCAAACATAACTTTCTTAATTACTTTTTAATTCTTACACGGATCAAGATATATATGCGTATAATTTGAAGTTCATTTTAAGACGAAGAGTTTACAATCGATCGATAATAAGAATAGCACTAGAAGAACGAGCACAAAATCTTTGTGGATTAGTCTTAAAGTAAATGGTAGAAATTTGAGGCATCTACAAATTGGCCAAAAAGAATCCACGTAATTGTGAAAGAATGTGTTAATCATATTTGATTAAGCGAAAAAAGTAATGAAAAAGAAAGTTTACATGATACGTATATTTTAATGAAAAAATAGAGAGCTCTATGGGCAATAGAACACAAAAGCTTTACCGTATTATTACTTACGGAAATAGAGCAGCAAAATGCTCATCGTTTGGATTCAATGTATACAGTTATTAAAAAGGAGCAAAATTAATAATAGCATTAATACTTGTGACGATAGTGCTAGAGCACAAAATCCATTGGAAACAGAAGTTGAATTATAATGTAAAATAAGTTTTAGAAGATTACTAAAACGATCGTCATATATAAACATTTAGCCACACTTCTATTATTAATGTCTCATCTGTATGTACGTAGTACATATGAGTAACAAATATATATGCAATTATTAATGTGTTTACATATCGTTAGGTTCTTTGTTGTCCTTAAAATAGAAAAATTATTGATTTTATTGCGCTTTGAAATTTTTGCTTTAGCTTAGTTAAGAAAGCGAGAAGAGTGGGGGGGGGGGGGGGGGGAGGAAAAAAAAAAGATAAATTATTAAAAAGTAAAAAATAAAA